TACATTTATGTGGGTCTACTTCTGGCCTCCCTATTCTGTTCCATTGATCTGTTCGTTCTTTTACTGGTACCATACTCTTGGTTACTGTAGCCTTATGATAAGACTTGATTTCGGCTAATGTAGGTCTTCTGACTTTGTTCTTCTCCTTCAATATTGTATTGGCTGTTCTTGATCTTTCGACTTCATATAAATTTTAGAATTGGTTTGTCAGTATTCACATAATAACTTGTTGAAATTTTAATTGGAGTTGCATTGAATCTGTAGTTGGGAATGACTAATATTTTGGCAATATTGAGTCTTCTATCTGTGGACTTAGAATATTTCTCCATGTAAGTTGTTCTTTGATTTCTTTCATTAGAATTTTTTGTTTGTTTTTTGTTTTGAGGTAGAGTCTTACTCTTGTCGCCCAAGGTGGAGCGCAATGGCGCCATTTCAGCTCACTGCAACCGCCGCCTCCTGAGTTTAAGTGATTCTTCTGCCTCAGCCTCCTGAGTAGCTAGGATTACAGTAGCCCGCCCCCACGCCCGGCTAAGTATTCTTAGTAGAGATGGGGTTTCACCATCTTGGCCAGGCTGGTCTCAAACTCCTGACCTCGTGATCCACCCACCTCAGCCTCCCAGAGTGTTGGGATTACAGGCGTGGGCCACTACACCCGGCTTATTAGAATTTTATAGTTTTCCTTGTCTAGATCTTATACATATTCTGTTAGAATATGTATGATCTATTTTAATTTCAAATTCTACTTGTTAATTGCTGGTATATAGGAAAGGAATTGACTTTTGTATATTAACCTTATATCCTGCAAACTTGGTGTAATTGCTTGTTAGCTCCAGGGTTTTGTTTTTGTTTTGTTTTGTTTTTGTTTTTGTTTTTTTTTCCTATTTCTGATTTTCTACATGTATGATCATGTCATCTGTGACAAAAAGACAGTTCTGTATCATCCTTCCCAGTCTTTATAATTTTTATTTCCTCTTTTTACTGATTTAGGTAGGACTTCCAATACAGTGTTGGAAAGCAGTGGCAAGAGAGGACATCTTTTTTTTTCTTTCTTTCTTTCTTTTTTTTTGAGTTTCGGCGTCTCTGTCACCCAGGCTGGAGTGCGGTGGCATGATCTCAGCTCACTGCAACCTCCACCTCCCAGATTCAAGCAATTATCCTGCCTCTGCCTCCCAAGTAGCTGGGACTACAGAGTTTCACCATGTTGACCAGGCCAGTTTAGAACTCCTGACCTCAAGTGATCCACCTGCCTAGATCTCCCAAAGTGTTGGGATTACCGGCGCGCTTGGCCTTTTTTGTTTGTGATTATTTAAGGGGGAACATTCCTACTTTCTGACCATTAAGATGTTAGTTGTAGCTTTTTTTTTTTTTTGGTAGATATTTTAATTAATTTGAAGAAGTTCTCTATTCCTAATTTACTGACATTGTTTGGCTTTTTACTGTTGAATTTTGAGCATTCTTTATATATTTTATAAATTTTATGTATTTTATATATGGTTTGCAAATGTTTTCTCTTAGTAAATTTTATTGTACGTTTAAGTGATCCGTTTTGAGTTAATTTTTTATATAAGTTATGAAGCTTAGATTGAAATTCATCTTTTTTGCTTGTGCATGTCTACTTTCTCTGGTATCATTTGTTGATAAAACTAGCTTTCCTTGAATTGCTTTTTTTTTTTTTT